AACCCCCCCCCCCCTCTCCACCTCCCTTCAACTTGCTTATAAGGGATTACATCTTGAATCATTGCTTCACTTGATGCAGCTAATTCGGCTGTGACGGTCCCACCTGATGACGGAGACTTGTGTTGCCTCCGAAACGTCGTGATTTTTATTTTATTTTTATTTTGATGTTTTACTTACGTGACTTAACCGAAAAAACCTAAGAATATGAATCTTTGCAGTCACGAAAGCTTCAAATCTAGAAGCATATCGATTCTTGTTTTTCAGTGCCCGATTGTATCAACATGTGGCAATCTATAAAAAAAGAATTCCTGCCTGTCCACTTAATCTCTTTCAGTCATACGACATCCATGCAAATGTGTTGTCCACCCACCTTCACCCGACACAACCAATTAGTAAGGTTTGTCACGTGAACAAACCGTGCCAATTAGTTATGACAGCAAACCTACGACACATTTACTATTTGAGTTAACGACGTTTCGCTGGTGATTACAACAACTAGCATCATCAGGCGATTAACAGAAATGTGAAGTCTTTCTGTTTCCAGTCTTGAATAGAGTAAGGTGCACAGTGATGACATCACCTCACTATTTAACACATTTGGAACCATGGACCGTGATATAATGTTACAAAGATTAAAATTCGTAAAAAAAGATTGTAGGCATTTAATCATATGGGATAAGCAGTATAATTATTATTACAGTGGTCCCTCGGTTTAACAATGCCATCAATTAACGATATTTAGATTAATGATCCGTCTCCCATATGATCCACATTGTTTCTATTAACGATACATTTTCGATATGTTTAAGATATCTCGCGACCGCAAATTTCGGCCATGTGGAGTGCTCCCAAGTGCACTCAGTGAACTTCAGCCAATCAGCGACCCCTTAAGCCATACATCTTCTTAGCCTAAAGTAATCATTTTTATTTTATGCTCTATTATGCACCTTTTCATGCGCTATTCATTATTTATCCATGTTTCTACTCATATTAATGCTTTAATATGTTACATGATGGGACCTTCTTTAGCGAGAGACCCAAAGAGTAAGAACATTACATATTAAATACTCACAAACACAACTGTCGGCAGTTGCAGAACATGCTTGCCAACGATGAAATTGTATTTATTTTGATAACGAGAATAGGTGTTTCATGGCAACAAAACAGGTGTTGAGATGTTAAAACACCAAACGGAAACCTTTTACAAGGTAGTATGTCTGCATTAACCACAATGATTGTGGTCAGAATGCAAACAAAAAACATACTCTGATAATATATGCATTGTCTTTGAAACTGATTGGTCCACACCAGAGAGAGCTTTCTTTTGAGCCTAGTCCCAAACGGTGTTAGACCAGAGGATGCCAAAAGGCGTATATGATTCCTTGTAAAAGGTTTCAGTTTGGTGTTTTAACATCTCAACACCTGTTGTGTTGCCAGAAAAAAGGGAAAACATATTCTCATCTTTAATATGTTCTTAGAACGTGGATTTATTTAAATTGCGTGTTGAATTATTATAAACAGTTTTTTAGGGTGATTAAGGTCAATTTTCGATTGTCTTTGAACAAATTAACCATTTAACACGAATTTCATATGTATTCGATCAACGATAGTTTTAATTAACAGTAGTTTTCGTGGAACCAATTAAAATCATTAACTGAAGGACCACTGTATTACATTATGTAACACAATTTTTGTTCCTGGGTAGTAAGTGTTATTTCGTAATTGCGTATGCTTAAAAAGTATAGAAAATTGTTATTGATCCCCAAAAACTCTGCTTTTGTGACCAGGACAGTGATATTTTGAAATGTACCTATTTTCAATGAGAAAACGGGCGAATTTATGTCTTTTCATTCACATAAAGTCAGAAAAAAACAACATATGAATCAAAATTAACATCTATTTATACTAAAGTAATACATAATTACTACAAAAGATTTATAAGTGAGTAGTTTTTCAAGATTTACGATTATACTCTAAATCGCTTTCACGAATCAACTTCCAAATGTAGTCTCCCATCATGTTCTCGTTCTACTGTCCTTGGTAGCGGCGTTCAAAGTCCAGCATATGCTGGTGGAAGCGCTCGGCTTGCTCCTCCGAGTATGCTTCCATGTTCTCCTTGCATTTATCAAGATGAGCATCAAGGATATGGACTTTGAGGGACATCCTACAGCCCAATGTGCCGTAGTTCTTCACCAGAGTCTCAACTAGCGCCACATCGTCTTCGACCTTGTGATTGCCCAGGAAGCCACGAACCACTGTGACAAAGCTGTTCCAAGCCGCTTTCTCCTTACTAGTGAGCTTCTTGGGGAATTCATTGCACTCCAGGATCTTCTTTATCTGTGGTCCGACGAAGACACCGGCTTTGACCTTTGCCTCAGACAGCGTAGGGAAGAAGTCTTGAAGGTACTTGAAGGCTGCCGACTACTTATCTACTGCTCTGACAAATTGTTTCATAAGGCCCAATTTGATGTGCAGTGGTGGCATCTGCAACTTCCGGGGGTACACCAGTGGCTCCCACTTGACGTTGTTCCTCCCCACAGAAAACTCGGTCCGCTGTGGCCAGTCCAGCCTGTGATAGTGCGCCTTGGTGTCCCTGCTGTCCCAAAGGCAAAGATAGCAGGGAAGCTTGGTAAAACCACCTTGGAGACCCATCAGGAATGTCATTTATTACCATTATGGAGTAGCACGGCTTTGAGGCTCCTGGATGAGCTGTCAATGAAGAGGGGCCACTCATTCTGGTTACAGGTGATTACAATTGCCTCGAACAGACTGGTCACATTGTGGCAGAAGCAGAGCCCATCTTGACGGGTGAAGAAGCTGCAAAAAGGTTGGTGACGCTTCCTCTGATCTGCAACTTGCACACTTTCATCCAACAAGTTCCACTGCTTGAGCCTCGACGTCAAAAGCTCGGCATTGGACTTGGTGAGACCAAGATCTCTGATCAAGTCGTTGAGGTCTTTTGGTTGGGGTAGTATGGGTTTCTCTCCTCAGCTCTACCTCTGAAATTGCCATCTGGATCTACAACATCTTCCTCGCTCTCTGACTTGCTGCTCTCTTCTCAAGATGGCTGCTCTCTCTCCGGAGGAGTGGGTATGGGGAGCTCATGGCAGTGTGGCACCGGGACAATGGATGAAGGAAGGTCCGGATACGTGATAGCAGGTGCATTCTTGCCAGTCCGACGTTTGGAAGGGTCCACCATGCAGAAGTAGTAGTTGCTTGAGTGGTCAGTGGGTTCCCGCCAAATTATTGGGATAGCGAACTTCATGGCTCTCTTTTCTCCTCTGTACCATCCTACAAAAATACATTAATTTCACCCATGACTAATGTGTAAGAGATTCTCGGAACATTTTTATTAAATAATATATATTTTTTCAATAACATTGAAAATTGTAAACATTTTTAAATTAAAAACTTTTACAATTTTGAAAATTTTAACAGATTTTATAATATAAAATTCCGAGCAACAATTGTCCATCTTGCCTTCCAACTTTTTTTGTATTGCTCGCAGGTGAAATGAGGTGCACATGGTCTGTCTTGATCCTCAACAGGCATGCCGAAATATGCTTCTACAAAGTACTTTTTCGCTCTTGTCTTGATAAATTGGCCGCAGACATAGCAAAATGCATCTGCCGATGCTTGCAGTCTCTTGATGCTATCTCAGAAAAATGCAGATTTGTATCCATGTAGGCAGCTGGAACTAAACTGAACTGGTGGGCTTAAGGCCCCTGTATTTATACTACTATTTATATTACTGGAAAGTTCTAGAATGTTCTAGAAGTTATTCCAAGTTTACTCAGCACTGAATCTATTTGGAATGTTCTGTAAAATTAGTAAATTTAACAATATCAATGTCCTGGTCACAAAATCAAAGTTTATTTGGAATAATAGCCATTTTATGTACTTTTGATGTAAAAGCAATTAGGAAATAATACTTACTATCCAGGAACAACAAGTGTTACACTGTGTTATCATCGGACTATACATATAAAACTGTCTTAATAATATAATATAATTATGACTGCTCTCTGCTCTATTTTTGTTCCCCACAGGACAGATAAATTGTGCAAAGTAAATAACAGCCGGCGACAAGACCTGAAGAGGAATGTTACACATCGTGTTCAGAAGAATTAATTTGCCCTAAAGACTTCAATAGCAAACATTCAGGCATGCCAGGCTTGCAGCAATAACGACTACATAACAACGATTTAGCCCGTTTCAAGTACTGAGCCCATGATATGCATCTATTGAGATTGTGTTTATAATCGCCCCTTTGTTAACAAAACTGGCAGGCCAATTGCATTGTAAAGACGTTTGGGAAATGTTGTATGCCTTTTAATGCAATCTTATTGACAGCGTTATTTACAGATTGTGGATTTTGGGGTTATTATCTGGCAATGCAACAGCATACTTTCATGAATGAAGTTAAAATAATTGGCGTTTGTTAAGTGAAGCATTTCATCCATAGATCCCAAACAAAACCTGCAGGGTACACGGCCAGAACTAGGTGGGGGATCATAGCGAATTTACCCACTTACTCACTTAACCACTCACCCACTTACCTACTCACTCACCCACCCACTCACCAACCCTATAGACTCACGCACTCGCTCAGAACCAGGGTAAACGGCCAGAAAATAGCGGATGAAGACCAGTTTACAGAGGTGACTTTTAAAGATGGACAAATATATCTAATTATTCTGATTGTCTTATTAGAAAGGGCAAAGCGTTGTTCCAAAGCTGGTGAGCTGCACAGTGGAAAAAGCCCGATCATCCCATTAAATGAGCCTTGACCTTTGAAGAATTAGGTCTCTGTAAGAATTGTTGGCACAACTCTTTTTATAATAGAAACCTGCAGGACAGATGTTATACAGTGGTTATGTAATTCACTTCCACTCCGTATCACATTAAGGATGCATTAAAACCCGATAACATTAATATACCATACATTAAAGGTTGGTTACATTTAAGTGTGTCTGCAAAAGTGCCTAATTCCGAGATTCATGATGCCAATTGCCAACGCGACGGTGAATCACACCGCGACGATCGACAGCAGTACCGTGGTCACCCAAATTTTTTACACTATCTTCCAGATGATCAACCTCTTCATGACGGCCCCTTCTCTGTGTTTATTTCTTTCTATCACCGTTACGATTTTCACCGAAATGAAGCTAAGGGAGAACTCGCGCTACATTCTCTTCGCCAATCTCATTGCGTGCGACACCTTCTTCCTGCTTTCCTCCACCATCATGTCTACTTTAATTTGGCTACAAACAAATTTAAGTTTGACGTCATGCAACGTGCACACTATGATCAGCACAATTCTGAACCAGAGTGGGGTTTTGTGCGTCACACTCATGTCCGTGGAGCGATACGTGGCCATTTGCCACCCCTTCCATCACCCCCGCTGGTTCAGCCACCGCAAAACGCTTCAGTTCTTGGCCGTAATTTGGTCCGTCGCTTCAGTGTTCCCGCTGGCGTGCGGCACTCTGGTCTTCACAAGCGGCGTGACTGTGAACAACACTCGGACTTGTTCTTCATATCTCACCGACAGCCTGATGCCCAACCCCATGGCAATCGCCGTGCTCAGAGAATTCCCAAACGCCGTAATTTTCACAGTCTGCATCATTGCGTTGATCTTCACTTACTTCAATATAATGATGGCCGCTAGAAAGGCGTCCGATGATGCGTCTAAGGCGAAACGAGCCAAGCAAACTGTGATATTACACGGCCTACAGTTGTTTCTGTATCTGTGTTCACTTGGTAACAGATTATTTGAAACCCTTTTCGCTATAATCACAACAGATTATAATGTGGTGATAATTTTAAGGTTATGTAATTTTTTATTTCTTTATTATAGCTCAAGGTTTGTTGTTCCCTTAATTTATGGAATACGTGACAAAAAACTTAGGCAGTGTCTTAGGAAGAAGATCACCTGTCACTACAATAGGGTGACTGCATTTTAAACCATGCAAAAAAATGAACGTAAATCTTACCATTTGTGTAGTTAAATGCTTTTAAAATTGCATTTCGTTCAAATGCCTAAATATTTGTCTTTGTCTTGGGTCTTTCGGTAAAGTCACGTAGATAGGTTCAAAAACTACGACGTTTCGATCACAACACAAGCGGTTGTCTTCAGGAAAATTGAAGACGACCGCTTGTGTTGCGATCAAAACGTCATAGTTTTTTGTTATTTTTTGTTATTTTCTTTGAACCTATCTACGTGATTTGACCGAAAGACCCAAGAATATGAATTCCTGCAGTCACGAAAGCTTTAAGTCAACAATAGGGTGGGTACATTTTAAACTGCATGCAACAAGATGAATGTCAATCTTACCATTCGTGTCTTTGAATGCTTAAACATTTCTATTTAGTTCAAATGTCTTCGTTTAAATGTATGTATGCTGAACTTATTTGACACTGTACATAACCAGCCTCGCTAATCAGAGGTGCGGGGAAGGACAACAAACTAAACACAAACAGCAGTTCTACAGAAATGAGTTTTTAATAAAAAAAAATACGTTTTTAATCCAGAAATTACTTTTAAAATGAGATGTTCTTAGGCTGAACAAATAATTGTGAAATTGCCTTTCCAGGCTTACCTCCCTTTGTGCGGTAGATGCCTTTTGAAAAAAGTGCGTACATACGGGAGACTCGATTATCCGCATGTGGTTCTCCGATTTGCTGATTAACTTCGCACCTGAGATTTTTACATAAGTTCATAACTCATGGATTTTACCTGAAGCCCAAATTAATAACATGAAAACAGTTATACATTATTATTCTTGGAAATGTTTATTACAAGTTACGTGCTTAAGCCAACGAAACATTTGCTCCGGTTAATCCGAAATCTAAGTGATCGCCTCTACAGTAGAGTAGTTGCATATATTTTCAACAGTAGGCAGAGTTTGATTTATTAGAATTATCTGTGGCTCTGCTATCCACTTAGTGGACCGAGTCTTCTGGGCAGGAGCAGGAAAGTGTTATCAGTGAACACGCGCATCGATCGATCGTTAGTATTCATTATAAATCGAAAGAGTAATACGTAATCGTCAGTTGCGCTTAATTTTTTATCCTATCATTTATTTTGCGAGTTTTAATTTACAAAACTGTGCGATGACAGAGAAACTTAAACATTATGGATCCCTAGATTAGCGGCGTTTGGCATAGAGATCCGCAGCATATTAATATTTTTGGATTATCCACAATTTTGGATTATCTGCGGTCGTCCTCCCCGTCATTAGCGCAGATAATCGATAGTCTACGATACGTAGCTGCTCGCAGTCCCCACCCAGGTGGGGCAGTGAGCCCAATTTATCCGCATCCTCAAAACCCAGGAGAATGGAGAATTTTGTGATTTCTGTCCGTGGAGTTTCTGTGCCACCCCTCCCTCCCCACATCGCGGTTTGTGCTCTGTACCCGGCTCATGTTGAAATACAATACAATAAAAATCAGTGAATATTAAAATATCGAACGCTTATGGGAAAAGCAGCGTTAGGGGGCATACACATATATTGCGTTTAAACATATAATCTGTCCAAATATATGAATGAATACATATATATGTTGCATTATTGTGCTAAATTACCTTTAATAATGATGAACATAAATATCAGGAAACCCCTCTCTACCCACGAGGGGGTTACGTACTTGACAACGCTCGCGAATGCAGAATCTGCCAGCCAGCGGTGGACGAGGAAGTGCACGCATTACGGCAAGAAGAGAGAGAGAGAGCAAAACCATCCGGGAAGAGTGTGGAGCTGTGTAGTCATTGTTAAATAAAAGACACAAGTCTACAGTCGTCGTGGAAGTGCTTTATTACACTAGTACGAGTGAACATAGGGGGGCAATGTTAAACGTTTAATAAATACTACAATCAATCATTAATACATTATACGAAGCAATGCGTTTTTTTTCATGACATTTGATGATGATAATTTGACGACAATGGAGGTGGTGGTGATGGCGAGGAATTCAGGATGATGACTCCACTGGAGATGCAGGCGTGTGATAACAACGCCGCACAGTTTGTTATCACGAGGACAAAGCGGGAAGCCGAGGCGACGTGGCCAATCTTCGCAGCAGACAGTTGTCAAAATTTGTGCGCGCATCTCCCACGGTGTCGGTGGTCTACAGGCACGACGCGTTATAACTCTCGCAAACTGTCCGGCGGGTCGCGAATAGTAAATTAGTATGCATTTAGTAACTCGAGAACAGGGGCGGTTTCTTCATTAGGGCGATTGGGCGACGCACCACCAATCTCAGCCGTTACTGTGCCTCTGGATATAGTCCAATCAGCGTCATGTCACGTTCTGTGGAGTACCGCCTCTTTTTGGGCGATTTCACTCTGGCTGACAATCGCCCAGAGTGTTCCCGTAGACTTACATTCAAAGATGTTTTTTTTCGAACGGCGGGCGCTCCAATGCATTCTCTATGGCTTCCGGGAGGGCTCGCACTAACGTGCTTACGTCATCATACGTAAGCACGTTTCAGTCAACAATATTATTTGTCGCCACCTAGTGGAATCTTTAATACAAGAAACTGAGTGGATTGTAATAATAGTGAGTATAGAAACAAACAATATGTATTGTAAGAGTCACTTCATTTTTCATTAATATTAAAGAAGTGAAGTTGCCTTTACATGCTTAAGCTGTTAATTTATCCATTGCATGGGTGGACCTTATCCTTATCAATCATCCAGACATTTGCCCCCCCTGAGAGATTTTGCAGGAGCCGCCACTGCTCGAGAATATGCTAAAACGCGTGAATCCAGAACTCGCGCATTGCGAGGGTTTACTGTATATTTAAAAGTGTAAATATCAATACATAAACGTTATCCAGTACGTCTATGTTCCCGCTGCCTTGGCCATTTTGAATTTGGGGCTTTGTACACGATTGATGTGCAGCTCCCCTACCTTGATGCTGGTGGTGTAGGTGGTTTCTTTATCAGTTGGTGGGGCCAAAATCTTGTCCTGGTCTTCAATCTTGCAGCCAAAATAAAGGTGATAGGCGTTCTTGACCATAGTGCTTATATTGCGCTTTTGTGATGCAAAAGTCACTTCACCACAAACATATCAGAAGTTATCTGCTTTGTTCACACAAATACGAGGCATCTCTGCTCACTTTGGCTAAACAGAAATGTGTCCCTTTGCAAAATCAAATACTGACAAATAAGAGAGCACGACACTGCATGATTTCGAGAGCTGATATAGGGCAATTTGTTCAGCAGAGGGATGTAAGCCTAGTTATGATTGCATCATCCATGACTTCTAGGAATAACATTATGCAATTCATATCATGTATGATGCAATACCAGGTTCAGATTGCATCATTCATTGTTTTGCTCAAAAAGCAAGTACTGTCCAAACCCAGGCAAAGATTTATTCATAGATCCAAAAAAAAATGTATTTTATTAATTTCTGGTTTAAATTGAGATCCCTTCCCTTGTCAACTCACTTATCCCCCGCCATTCCCAAGTCAAGGGTCAAAGATACTGACCCAGTAGCGTATCTTGAAAAATAGAGCTAATCAACAATTTTAAGCATAATTTTCATTCTCAGTGACCCAGAATTAGCAAAGTTGCACTAGATTTATGTCGGAAGCATTGTGGCTGTAAACCAGTGTTATCGATGTTCGGCTGCCACATTTATGCCTTTTGCCATGATTTGTCACTGAATAGAGTGGCCCGTGTAAAGGCTGCCATCTTCCTTACCTTCTGGGACTTAAGAGACAGACTAGGAACGTATGGCGTAAATTGTTCTGGAACACCACGGTGGCGAGATGTTAATTCCTTTGCCTGGTATGCATGGCTTCAGGGTCAGTGATCAAACCCCCGACATCCTGCATACCAGATGAGGGAGTTAACATATTTGCACCGTGGCGACCGGTGGCCTACAAAACACTCAGTGGGTTAGCCCCGCAATATCTGCAGTAACCGGTCCATGTTTACTCCCCAACTAGGTCCCTAAGATCTTCAGGGACCTGAAGATCTTCGGATAGCCTTCTTCTAAGGACTCCGAGATCAAGGTTGCCGAAATAATCCATTATAAGGTCACACTCATCAAACAAAGTGCTTGCCACAAAATAAAAATAATATATCACGACGTTTCAATCGCAACACAAGCGGTCGTCCTCAGGCGGAAAAAAATAATCTAGCCATGAAACTGCTGAACCGGCGAGAGAGCCGTTACAACAAGGTTATATATGTGGCGATGGGCAAGAGAGCGGTGTCTGAGCTGGAAAGGAATTCCATCCACGGACGCAAGCATGTCAGTTGTGTTAATGGGGGAGATTAGGGAGAGAGATTAGCATGAATGAGCTTCCATCGCTGCATAAGAGTATCATCCCCGCATATGCGCACAACAGCAGTGTTAATGAGAGATTAGCACCATGAGAGTGCAATCCAAAGGGCATGTGAGCATGAGAGTGCAACCCAAAGGACATGTGAATATGAGAGTGCAATCCAAAGCACATGTGACCATGAGAGTGCGATCCAAAGGATATGTGAGAGATCTAAGAGAGACGCACAGAGAGACACACAGAGAGTCGGAAATAACAGCTGACATAGGCAGGTAGGATGGAAACATCACAGTCAGTTAAGACTTTACCTGGTTAATAACGTCCTTCCAATGTTTATATATCTGTGGCGTGCTCTGCATCTTCCGTGGAGCCCGGGGATCATGCGGACGAGGAGCCTGCTCCTGCGTGCTCGCTGCATCAGCAGAGCGGTGATCATCAGGGTGACGGTGATCGGTGGCAGGACGACCGGCGGCGGGCGAGGTCTGCTTCATCCCAGTCCAGCAGTGGATGGATCACCTGCTACAACTGTGTCCTACTGGGGCATGTCAAATCGGGCTGCTGGGTTCCTCGACGGCGGCCCCCAGGACGTCCACCTTCTTACGACACCCTGCTCTCTCAGGCGCCGCGCGATTGATGCCTCGCACGCGGCCGCTCGTGTCGGCCTCGCGTGCTCTGGACGTGAAGGACCCGACAACCCGGCCTACTGCTCTTCGTGAGGAGCCGGCTTCGTCGGGTCGATTTCTTGTTCCTTCCGGCCCTTCCACGGCGGTCAAGTCCAACCCGCCGGGAGGTCCGGCGTCACGAACTCGTTCAAAGGCTCGATTCGCGTGATCCCCGTGCATTGCACACTCCCACACCGTCATGGGTTGTCGCGCTCGCATGAGTCGTGGCGAGTATTTGGCTGATCTTGCTCGCGATTGACGTCGCGGGCGTTGTTACACGTTGTGGGTGGGAGATATTGATTCTGGGGATCTTGTACGAAGCGGTTGTTGGGTTGTTCATTTATTTTTTATTTGCTCTCTCCGTGTATATATTGCACAGTTGGGTTTGGGTAATTTATTGCGTTGTTCTGTTATTGTTGGAGCACACTTTGTTGTTCTGTATAATTGTACATCGGTTGCTTACTTGCGGGGGAGTTGGCAGCCGGGATGGCTGGAAGCTGCGGAGGGGGGGTGATGTAGTGACTGTGATTGTCACTATGTGGTGCCGGGCTTACAAAGCCACGGTGGATAATGTGTTGGCATTATGTGTAGCCCGCTCACTAGGCGTAGTACTAGCCCTAGCAGGGCTTGGGTGAGCGCTGGTCAGCTCGGAGGCACCACGTACAGTGCGCGGTGCGGGAGCGAAAAGAAGCATCAGCCAGTCAGGGTTACATTGGGGCATGATACGCTGGTTGATCTGCCGACACATGACCAGATGATATTGGAGGGGGGGCACCAGTGGACGGGGGCCGCTGGGCGGTCACGTGGTCTAAAAGAGCTCTCAGGGAGCCTTCGGGAAAGAGCTAGAGAGAAGATGGGCGGGACAAGAGGAGGAGGCAGCCCCAGCCCAGGCCGATATAACGGGGGCCCCGTGAGGGGCTTGGGGTTCTTCGTGTTGCTGGTGATGAAGATCCATGTCGGAGAGAAGAAGCCTCTAGCCATGCGGTCCGGGACCCAGCTTGTGGTCCGGGCCGGGATAGCGAACCGTGTCTAGTTCTGCTGTAGCGTGGTTAGACGGGCATTCAATATCCGAGTGTAGGTTGTGTTTTTTGTGTTGAATTTGGTTGAATAAAGTGTTGCTCCCAAAACGTCTGCGACTCAGTTGGACTCACTACACTTATATAACGCTGCCTGTCTAGCGACAACGATGCCGACCCCTAGATAGCTGGCTGACTACTAGCGAGCGACGTCGACACAGCGGTGGCAAAGATGACAGCAATGACGAAGACAGCGACGATGAAGACGATCTCAATTCTCTATTATGCTCGTGGCTCCGCCCCGGCCACACCTCTTTTCTAGAACTCTCCAGCGGGTTCCGGGAGTCCCCAGATGCTGGTTCCCCATGCTGATCCTTGGCCCAGTTATCTCCCCCTCTGGTCGTTCAAGTGTATCTGTCTTACCGTCTTGTCCATACTGTTTACACACACGCAATTACCCCCTACGGCCGCTAGTCGACGCACCACTCTACATATGGACGAAAAGCTCCACTTTGACTTAAAGCTTTCGTGACTGCAAAATTCATACTCTCTGGGTCTTTCGATAAAGTAAAGTAGATAGTATACTCTTTGGTTCTTTCGGTAAAGTCACGTAGGTAGAAAAAATAATAGATTACGACGTTTCGATTGCAACACAAGTAATCGTCATCAGGTGAGACAACCACAGCAAGGCTTGTGTTGCGATCGAAACGTCGTAATCTATTATTTTTTAGACCTACGTAACTTTACCGAAAGAACCAAATAGTATGGATTCCTGCAGTCACCAAAGCTTAAAATCAAGATTTCTAGTCTTACGGTAAAGTCACGTAGATAAGTAAAAAATTTTTTTTTTTTAACTACGACGTTTCGATCGCAACACGAGCGGTCGTCATCAGCAAAAGTCCCTGTGTTGCGATCGAAATGTCGTAGTTTTTTGTTATTTTCTTTGAACCTATCTACGTGACCTTACAGTAAGACCCAAAGAATATGCTCCACTTTACACATGTCAATTAGTATCGTGTTGAGCTGTATATGTTGGAGGCAAGGCATTAAAATCAATCGTGAACTGAACGCCAGTGCAAGTGTTAATATTTCTTGGTTTTCGTTAAAGACTGCCAGCATGCAGAGTTTTGTACTAGCTGTTGCTGTAATTGAGAAATAAATACCAATGGAGTATATAGATGAGAAGGCATTGGCGATTGAATAGAACCGGCTACCTCTAGGTTTCAAACTTCAGTCTGTTAAAAATAGGCTTTACAGGAGTTAAGATGTTCAAACACCAAATATGCACCTACTATTGTAAGGCCATCAAGTTTGCATTTACCACACATCATGCTTGTGGTATAATGTATGCATTATACCTGAAACAGAATAATGGCAAAAGGCGACCAGCACAAAGGCAATGCAAATATCAAAGTATGTATAGCTGGGGTTGAGCAAAAAAAAACATTACACCACGACAGCTTTGTAAACAGAGTCAAGGTAAGGGGTTAATACTGGGTTTTTTGGAAATTCAGAATATCATTGCGGGGCAAGACATCACGACTCTGAGATCTCCCCTGGCAATTGTACAGCTTGTGATGCTCAGCAGTCTTTCTTAAAATATCATTGTTTGGTGTTGGTGTTGCGAAGAAACGGGCACACAGGTGAACTGTGCGTGGCTACATTCAAGTCCCTTGCCCATAGAAGCGATCTGTCGGGATACAAACACAAAAATATTTTATCAGGCTATATCCATTGCTGGTATTAGTTACCTAGTGTATACAATGAGTAGTGTGCCATGTTTGAGACTTCGTCAAACGTCAACGGGCAGAGAAGGTGCAGGAAGTCAGAATAAAATAATTAAGCAAGTTAGCTGAGCTGAGAAAGTGAGCTAAATTGAGCAAGTCAGCTGAGCTGAGCAAGTCAATTGAATTCACCAAGTCAGCTGAATTATAGTTTCACGCGGCAGTATAAATGGGGTACACTACAGTTATTCAGCCAAATGGCAGGACGCGTGCCGTGGAATCGTTTGGGTGCTCCCAACTTCTAACGAAGGAGGTTGTGACCCAGCATACAAGAGTCGGATAATAACAAATTACTCCCTACTCGGAGTACCTCTCTCAAGAGCTCCGTATTGTGGAGGATCTTCCGCCAGCAGTGTCGTGAGCAAGCAATTGCAGCGCTGTGCCTTTATATTTCCCCCTTTTTTTCCTTTTCTTTCTTTCCCTTTTTCTTTTTTCATTATTTCTTTACATTTTTGCTTTTTTCATTCTTTTTCTAATTTTTCTTCTTATTTTCTTTCCTTCTTTTTTCTCTGATTATTTAGTCTTATTTGTTTAAGGGGCCGTCCATAAATGACTTCACGCACTTGGGGGGGGGGGGGGTCAGACATTTGTGACAATGTGTGACGTTGGGGGGGGGGGGGTTTGAGAAATGTGACGTCACGTCCAAATGCGCAACTTTAAATAAATATAGACAACACGTTCTACTTATTTAAATATACTTTTTAATAAATGTTTTCTCTTACGACATCAGAGTGCAGCGCCACATCAAATACGCACTACAATAACAATAGTTTAAAGCGATTTCAAGCATGTTTTTTTGGGGGGGGGGCAGAGCTTTGTGACGTCACATTTGAGGGGGGTCTGACTTTTTGTGACGCCGTTTGACGAAGGGGGGGGCTCAAAAATCGTCCAAAATTGCGTAACGTAATTAATGGACGGCCCGTTACTTTCATTATTTTTTTCTCTCTGGGAGGATGGGTGAGAAGAATTGCGTGACCAAGAAGGCAAGGGAAAACAAGATATAATTTTGGACCGACCTAACACGCCTCCTCCTGTCCCCAGCGTACAATTTACGACGCAAAAATCGGTTTGGTGGCAGGTTGCTAAGCTTGGTTTCACACCTCTCTCGCGTTAAAAGGATGACCCCTCAACGACTCGGCTGTCACATTCGTGATGAAGAGACGCAGACGCAGTGATTGTTTTAGCAAGCGGCGTATAGCCCCGAGTGAAGTGTGATCTCCATAACTAGAGAACATCGCTCGAGAACCACACATCGCGTTAAATCATTCATTGCAAGCAATACCAAAAAAGGGATCATATTTAACAACAAAAACATTTCTTCCGCATTCACAAATCGTGTTTTTACGCGGTAAGTATTGCACCCTAGGAATGCATGCCTGCATGCGTGCCTATGTGTTTTATGTGTGTGTGTATATATAACGTACATATTGTAAAGAAAATTATATATTGAGTATTGCATAGTTTCCACACGGATGTATGTATGTGATGACTCAGGACTTTCTACGAATAGGCGAGGCATCAGAATGCTATGTCAGGACAGGCGTTCGTCAAAGTTGATTTTGACTCCCACATTGCTCAATGTTGGGCTTGACTATAATTTCACTAACACGGTGGATGTATGTTGAACTTCTATCGAAACATAAGTAACTAAGCGTGTTAATTGGAGGTGCTGGCGAAGACCAACACACTAAATACAAAAAGCAGATCCATAAAAATGAGTTTTCAATCAACATTTAAGAGTGCAAAGCTTCAGTGGCTTCCTAATATCGGAAGGAAGAGCGTTCCACATGGCCGCAGAAGCACATATGAAAGTGCACGATGCAGTAACCGTCTTTGTTCGATGGCTAGCCAAAAGCCACTGCTGATGTGAAGATGACCGCAGTTGATGGTTTAAAATTAATGCGGTTCGCAGAATAGGAATGGGATACACAGAGTAGAAAAGCATGGAATCAACACAGATAATATTAATGCACGCATTGGGTGCGGGTTTAGAGTAGATGCAGATGATGCAGGTTTGCTGGCTTTGACGTTGGCTTGAGGACGTTGGCTTGAGCCATGCGGCTGTTAACAGTCTTATGCACTGAGGCTGACCACTGGGATCTGAAGGTACGAGCTTTCCTTGGACAAACTGAATGGTGTTGAGATATAAGTAGGGCTCCTGTAGGAGGATGGTAGGTTCCAGCGGCACGAGAGGTTGGGGTGGTAGAGGTCTTTGTGTGTTAGGCAGGAGTGTCCATAACGCAATGTTCATCCTTCTTCTGCACCTCTGATTAGCACGGTTGGCTACAGACGGTGCAAAAGAAGATCAACATACATGCATGTAGCTGTGAGATGTTATCCTTTTTCATCTGATCTAGATTCATATTGCAGGACCTTTTTACAAAGCACTTTACAACATCCATAAAAGAATACACAAGATAATAGTGGTTGATATTTGAAAACGTGGGGTTATTATTAAAAGTGGTGGTGTCGTTATGGTGACAGGAGAACAGGTGGCAAATATTAATGGCGGATTGGGGTCGTGATAGGGGTTGGGGTAGTGATAGCGATTGGGGTAGTGATAGGGGTTGGGGTAGTGATAGGGGTTGGGTAGTGATATGGGTTGGGGTAGTGATAATTGTTGGGGTAATGATAGGCGTAGTGATAGGAGTTTTGGTAGTGATATGGGTTGGATAGTGATAGGGGTTGGGGTAGTGATAGTGGTTTGGGAAGTGAAAGTGGTTGGGGTAGTGATAGTGGTTGGGGTAGTGATAGTGGTTGGGGTAGTGATAGTGGTTGGGGTAGTGATAGAGGTTGGGGTCGTGATAGTGGTTGGGGTAGTGATAGTGGTTGGGGTAGTGATAGAGGTTGGGGTAGTGATAGTGGTTGGGGTAGTGATAGGGGTTGTAATAGGGTTGGGGTAGTGATAGGGGTTGAGGTAGTGATAGGGTTGGGGTAGTGATAGGGGTTGGGGTAGTGATAGTGGTTGGGGTAGTGATAGTGGTTGGGGTAGTAATAGGGGTTGTAATAGGGTTGGGGTAGTGATAGGGGTTGGGGTAGTGATAGGGTTGGGGTAGTGATAGGGGTTGGGGTAGTGATAGTGGTTGGGGTGGTGATAGGGGTTGGGGTAGTGATAGTGGTTGAGGTAGTGATAGTGGTTGGGGTAGTGATAGAGGTTGGGGTCGTGATAGTGGTTGGGGTAGTGATAGTGGTTCGCGTAGTGATAGTGGTTGGGGTAGTGATAGTGGTTGGGGTAGTGATAGTGGTTGGGGTAGTGATAGGGTTGGGGTAGTGATAGGGGTTGGGGTAGTGATAGTGGTTGGGGTAGTGATAGTGGTTGGGGTAGTGATAGGGTTGGGGTAGTGATAGGGGTTGGGGTAGTGATAGTGGTTGGGGTAGTGATAGTGGTTGGGGTAGTGATAGGGGTTGAAATAGGGTTGGGGTAGTGATAGGGGTTGAGGTAGTAATAGGGTTGGGGTAGTGATAGGGGTTGGGGTACTGATAGTGGTTGGGGTAGTGATAGTGGTTGGGGTAGTGATAGTGGTTGGGGTAGTGATAGGGGTTGTAATAGGGTTGTGGTAGTGATAGGGGTTGGGGTAGTGATAGGGGTTGGGGTAGTGATAGGGGTTGGGGTAGTGATAGTGGTTGGGGTAGTGATCGGGGTTGGGGTAGTGATAGTGGTTGGGGCAGTGATAGGGTTGGGGTAGTGATAGTGATTGGGGTAGTGATAGTGGTTGGGGCAGTAATAGGGTTGGGGTAGTGATAGTGGTTGGGGTAGTGATAGGGTTGGGGTAGTGATAGGGGTTGGGGTAGTGATAGGGTTGGAGTAGTGATAGGGTTGGGGTAGTGATAGGGGTTGGTGTAGTGATAGGGGTTGGGGTAGTGATAGTGGTTGGGGTAGTGATAGTGGTTGGGGTAGTGATAGGGGTTGTAATAGGGTTGGGGTAGTGATAGGGTTGGGGTAGTGATAGGGGTTGGGGTGGTGATAGGGGTTAGGGTAGTGATAGGGGTTGGGGTAGTGATGGGGGTTTGGGTAGTGATAGGAGAAGTGATAAGAGTTGGGGTAGGTCTTGTCGTAGCTGGGGGGGTGTGGGCGGGGTTAGGCAGTAGCAGTAGCAGGATTGGCTGGGGGAGAAGATATGGGGGTCGTTCCAAGGTGATTGTTGTTATAGTGAAGATGGTTGCTCTGTGTGCTGCAGGGGGAGTTGGTTCCAGTCGAGGGGAGCAAGAAGGGCGCAGGAAAGCGCAGAGAGAAGTGATAGAGACTGGGAGCAGAGAAGACGGGACGGGACAGAGTGGTGAGAGACGAGAGATTACAAGGTGGGGGCAAGATGAACCGAACAGCCCCAACTCTCTACGATGTAATTCGTTTTTTTCAGTTTGGGGTTTACAAAGAAAACGTCAGAGACGAATGCTCAGTGCTTCGAGCACAGCATTTCTGCCAATCAGGTAAGATATCCACACTGCCTTGACGCCACCACGCTGCACCGTCAACATCGCTACCTGAATTCAATTTCCAACCACAACAATTTGACTTCTTCAGAAATTTCACCGTTAGCATTTGCGACGGGTCATCCTAGCGACCGAGAGCTCAGTTCGAGGACGACGGCCGTGGTGCCACTTTGTGAACCACGTCGCCCCGTCTTGGTGCACACTCGTGCAGAAAATTGCGCTCTCATTTCGGTTGGCGGTCGACGTTCGAAGCAGACTGCGACCCTCAAAGGAATGGCATCGCCCATGTGCTGCGTGGATCAAACAAAACACTCGAGACACCAGTGTATTGCAGCCAGGAGCAGTTCATGTGAATGCTGTCGCAAAAGGTCACACGTGCAGCGCAACGGGTCCATCGCTGACTACACGCGATGAGTGAATGCTAAAATGAGTGGCGAGTGGTATTTGAAGCAGTCCTCCTCCTGGGTGTCCCATGTTCACGAAACGCACTGACCCGATAATAATAATGGCGCAAGCCCCCATTTTTCACTGAATGGTGGGGACGTCACCACAGTGCTTGTGCCAGGTTAGATGCACTTTGAGGTCATGTCAAGTGTTGAAGGCTCGCCGATAGGAAGTCACAGGACAGACCAAGGTGTTACGGGTTAATCGACTGTTCGCCACTCATGTTGGCCGTGAGTTGGAATCAAACTTGAGTAGCTGGGTTCATAATGCAGTGTGCACCACCACTCCCCACTATCCAGCCAACAACAACAACCGCCGTTCAGCACTAGATGATGGTGACGTGACCATGGCGCTTGTATCAGGCCAGGTGCACTTTGAGGTCAGGTAAAATGTCGAAGGCTTGCTGACAGGAGGTCACAGGACATGCCCACGTGTTATGGGTTGACTGAGATGACTGCCAGATGCACAATCTGTGCTCCCAACTGTGCCAATTTTCTGCAGCCTGTTGATTAGCTCGTTGTTATGAGTCCTGCCTTGTTTCTGGAGGGCGAGTACCTCCAACTGTCCAGTAGCGTCCTTAACGAGCATCCTCCATAGAGGCCGAACTTGCCACCGCTTGTTCCGGTCATCGACAAGTCCACTCAGCTCTACATCCTCGTCCTGTACCACAATTTCCATTTGGAGACGTCTAAAACTCATTTGCGGGTGCAGAAAAAGATGTTCTACTTCATTGGCTCACTTTCCATCAAACCTATCCACGTAATATCTCCTTCTTGTCCCTACATTTGGTTTCTTCATCTAGACTCTGATATTTGCTCCCAATATATGACGGCCACTGTCACGTATGTATGTTGAACTTGTTTTGCTTCGTACGTAGCCAACAGTGCTAATCGGAGTTGCGGGTAAAGGAAAACAAACTAAAACACCAAAAGCAGTTCTCAAGAAATTTGTTTTCAATCTAGATTTTAAAGTATATACAGTGACTTCTTTATATCAGAAGGAAGAGCATTCCGGACGGCCACGAAAGTGCATCTGAAAGCACGCAATACAAGTGACCGTCTTTGTTAAATGTTTAGCCAAACGCGGCTGCGAGGGTGACCGGAGTTCGTGTGATGGTCTACGCTCCTCGGTGAGATCAGCAAGGTATTAAATTGGCTACCCTGGGGTAAACGTCGGCTATTCAATTGTTCCGATGATTGTCTGGAGATACCCACGCAGATGTTGTTCTCCTTTGTCATTCAAAACGTTGCATTTTAAATGGATTGGTCATTATGGATAACGCAGACGCCCAACCGTCTTGGGCCTCTATGTTTATACCATCTAAGTTAACGGTTGCCTACAACACCATCCACTGTTATGTCTGCTCCAATCCGTGTGTAATATCTCAATTTTGCTGACGCTTTTGTTTGTGGTTCCTTGGTGATTTAAGTCGAATTCTTAAATTATCACCCTCTTGCATAGTGCTTGTTGCTGCATATATTTTTAACATATTTCACTGGCTTCGCCTGTAGGCATGTTGAAACTAGACATTGGTTTAGTGGGCCATGTCCGATTAGAACGATTGGCTATGTACAGTGCAAAAGAAGTGCAACATGCATACAGAATCAGAATATTGATTCATGCTAGAGGAATCAGATTAGCTATAAAGCTCTGTTTCACAGATAAGAGCAGGTTAAGACGTTTCAACAACAAATACACGATAGGAGTGCAAAGTATAGGAAAGGCAAACAAAACACTTTTTTAAAAATACAAATAAAACTATTATTTTCTAACCAGGTGAAGCCCAAACTATTAGCTTATTTTTCAGAAGCCACCTGACCACAAAAAATAGCTCAACGAAGTGGCTTATCATACTGAAATTTATAGCAGCAAATATTTTTTTTAATATTCTCAACACAAGCTGTCTAATACATACAATAGCTGCGCGGCAGACTTCCCTCCTCAGCCAAAGTGGCCACCGTATCGATTCTTGCTTTTCAGTGCCCGATTGTATCAACGTGTGGCTATCTGTAAACATTTTCCCTTCATGTCCACTTAATCTCTGGCAGTCATACGACATCCATGTAAATATGTTGTACACCTACCTTCACCCGACACAGCCAATTAGTAAGGTTTGTCACGTGAAAAAACCGTGACAATTAGTTCCGACTTCAGCACCATCGGTGTGTGTGTGTTATGACAGTAAACCTACGACACATTTACAAAGTTAACGACGTTTCGCTGGTGATTAAAACAACCAGCATCATCAGGCGATTGCCAAAAATGTGAAGTCTTCCTGTTTCCAGTCTTGAATCGAGTAAGGTGTACAGTGATGACATTACTTCACTCTATTTAACACATTTGGCACCATGGACCGTGATATGATATTACGAAGATTAAAATTCCCCCCAAAAAGCAATTTAATATGGGTTAAGCAGTATAATAATACTATGTAACACAATTTTTGTTCCTGTGTAACACGTGATATTTCGTAATTGCTTATGCCTGAAAAATATAGAAAATTACTTTTATTCTCCACAAACTTTGCTTTTGTGACCAGGATAGGCATATTTTTTAATTTACCTATTTTCAATGAGAAAACGGGCGAATTTGTGTCTTTTCATTCACATAAAGTCAGAAAAAAACAACATATGAATCTAAATTAACATCTATTTATTCTAAATTAATACATAATTACTACAAAAGATTTATAATTGAGTAGTTTTTCAAGATTTACGATTATACTGTAAATCGCTTTCACGAATCAGCTCCCAAATGTAGTCTCCCATAATGTTCTCGTTATACTGTCCTTGGTAGCGGCGTTCAAAGTCCAGTATATGCTGGTTGAAGCGCTCGCCTTGCTCTTTCGAGTATGCTCCCATGTTCTCCTTGCATTTATCAAGATGAGCATCAAGGATATGGACTTTGAGGAACATCTTACAGCCCATTGTGCCGTAGTTCTTCACCAGAATCTCAACTAGCATCACATAGTCTTCGAACTTGTGATTGCCCAGGAAGCCACGAACCACTGCGATAAAGCTGCTCCTAGCCGCTTTCTCCTTACTAGTGAGCTTTTTGGGGAATAAATTGCAATCCAGGATCTTATTTATCTGTGGTCCGACGAAGACACCGGCTTTGACCTTTGCCTCAGACAGTTTCGGGAAGACGTCTTGAAGGTACTTAAAGGGTGCCGACTCCTTATCTACAGCTCTGACAAATTGTTTCATAAGGCCAAATTTGATGTACAGTGGTGGAATCAGCACCTTCCGCGGATCTACCAGTGGCTCCCACTTGACGTTGTTCCTCCCCACAGAAAACTCGGTCTGCTGTGGCCAGTCCCACCTGTGGTAGTGTGCCTTGGTGTTCCTACTGTTCCTAGGCAAATATAGCAGGGAAGTTTGGTCAAACCGCCTTGGAGACCCATCAGGAATGCCACCATTTTTAAGTCTCTGATGACCTCCCGGCCGTACTCATCATACTTCAAGGCGTCCAGCAAAGTCTTGATGCTGTTGTAATCCTTTTTGAGGTGCACCTAGTGAGCCAAGGGAAGAGACGGGTACTTATTACCATTATGGAGCAGCACGGCTTTGAGGCTCCTGGATGAGCTGTCAATGAAGAGGCGTCACTCATTCTGGTTACCGGCGATCCCGATTGCCTCGAACAGACTGGTCACATTGTGGCAGAAGCAGAGCCCATCTTGACGGGTGAAGAAGCTGCATAAAGGTTGGTGACGCTTCCTCTGATCTGCAACTTGCACACTTTCATCCAACAAGTTCCACTGCTTGAGCCTCGACGTCAAAAGCTCGGCATTGGACTTGGTGAGACCAAGATCTCTGATCAAGTCGTTGAGGTCTTTTGGTTGGGGTAGTATGGGTTTCTTTCCTCAGCTCTACCTCTGAAATTGTCATCTGGATCTACAACATCTTCCTCGCTCTCTGACTTGCTGCTCTCTTCTCAAGATGGCTGCTCTCTCTCTCTGGAGGAGTGGATACGGGGAGCTCATGGCAGTGTAGCACCGGGACAATGGATGAAGGAAGGTCCGGATACGTGATAGCAGGTGGATTCTTGCCAGTCCGACGTTTATAAGAGTCCATCATGCAGAAGTAGCAGTTGCTTGAGTGGTCAGTGGGTTCCCGCCAAATAATTTGGATAGCGAACTTCATGGCTCTCTTTTCCCCTCTGTACCATCCTACAAAAATACATTTATTCTACCCATGACTAATGTGTAATAGATTATCGCAACATTTTTCATACATGATATTTTTTTCAACAACATTGAAAATTATAAAACATTTAAAAATATAAAAACTTTTGCAATTGAATTTATTTTTACAAATTTTATAACATTAAATTCCGGACAACAATTCTCCATCTAACCTTCCAGAGTTTGTTTTGCATTGCTCGCAAGTGAAATTAGGTGCCGAGGGTTTGTCTTTATCCCTGATAGGCATGCTGAAATATGCCTTGTAGGCCTCACACATCTTAGCAAATGCTTCCACAGAGTACTTTTTCGCTCTTGTCTTGAAAAATTGCCCGCAGACATAGCAAAATGCATCTGCTGGATGCTTGCAGCCTCTTGATGCCATCTTAGAAAAATATAGATTTGTATCCACGTAGGCAGCTGGAACTAAACTGAACTGGTCGACTTAAGGCCCCTTTCCTTATGCTACTATTTATATTACTGGAAAGTTCTAGAATGTTCTAGAGGTTACTCCGAGTTTACTCAGCACTGAATCTATCTGGAATGTTCTAGAAAATAGGTAAGTTTGTGAGGAATAATAGTAATAATAGTAATTTTCTGTACTTTTGAGGCATAAGCAATTAGGAAATAACACTTACTACCCAGGAACAAAAAAATGTTAGATAGTGTTATTAATACAGTTGTCCCGCGGTTTAAAGTTGCCATTAATTAACGATATTTTGAAAAATGATCCGTTTCTCCCATAGGATCCACATTGTTTCTATTAACGATACATTTTCGATATGTTTAAAATATCTCGCGACCGCAAATTTCGGCCAATTGGAGTGTTCCTACGCGCACTGAGTAGCCCTCAGCCAATCAGCGACCCATTAAGCCATCCATATTCTTAGCCTAAGGTAATCATTTTTATTTATGCTCTATTTTGCACCTTTTCATGCTCTATTCATTATTGATCCATGTTTATACTCATATTAATGCTTTGATATGTTCTTAGAACGCCCATTTATTACAATTGCGGGGTTAAACATTATAAACTATGTTTTTTGTGGTGAAAATGGTCAACTTCCGATCGTCTCGGACCAATTTAACCATTTAACACGTATTTCCTATATTCGATTAACGATCATTTTAATTAACGGTAGTTTTCGTGGAACCAATTAAAATCAAGAACCAAAGGACCACATCGGAATACATATAAAACTGTCTTAATACATATATAATGTAATTATGACTGCTCTCTGCTCTATTTTTGTTCCCCACAGGGCAGATCAATTGTGAAAAGTAAATAACAGCTGGCGCTGTGTGACCACGACCTGAAGAGGAATGTTACACATCATATTTAGAAGAATTAATTTGCCCTAAAGACTTCAATAACAAAGATTCGGGCATGCCAGGCTTGCGGAAAGAACGACTACATAACAACGATTTAGCCCGTTTCAAGTACTGAGCCCATGATATGCATCGATTGAGATTGTGTCTATAATCGCCCCTTTGTTAACACAACTGGCAGGCCAATTGCATTGTAAAGACGTTTGGGAAATGTTGTATGTCTTTTAATGCAATCTTATTGACAGCGTTATTTACAGATTGTGGATTTTGTGGTTATTACCTGGAAATGCAACAACATACTTTCGTGAATTAAGTTAAAATAATTGGCGTTTGTTAAGTGACGCATTTCATTCACAGATCCCACAAATGCGCGTCGGGAGATAAACAAAACCTGCAGGCTACACGGTCAGAACTAGGCAGGGGATAAAAGCGAATTTACCCACTCACTCACTCAACCACTCACCCACTCACCAACCCCATCGACTCACCCACTCGCTCAGAACCAGGGTAAACGGCCAGAAAATAGCGGATGAAGACCAGTTTACAGAGGTGACTTTTAAAAATTGACAAATATATCTAAAGATTCTGATTGTCTTATTAGAAAGGGCAAAGTGTCGTTCCAAAGATGGGGAGCTGCACAGTGGCAAAAGCCCGATCATTCCACTAAATAAACCTTGACCTTTGAAGAATTAGGTCTCTGTAAGAATTGTTGGCACAACTCTCTTTATAATACAAACCTGCAGGACAGATGTTATACAGTGGTTATCCAATTCACTTCCACTCCGTATAACATTAAGGATGCATTAAAACCCGATAACATTAATATACCATACATTCATGATTGGTTACATTTAAGTGTGTCTGCAAAAGTGCCGAATTCCGAAAGTCATGATGCCAATTGGTAACGCCACGGCGAATCACACCGCGACGATCAACAGCAGTAGCGTGGTCACCCGAATGTTTTACACCATCTTTCAAATTATCAACCTCTTCATGACGGTTCCTTCTCTGTGTTTATTTTTCTCTATCACCGTCACGATTTTCACCGAAATGAAGCTAAGGGAGAACTCGCGCTACATTCTCTTCGCCAATCTCATTGCGTGTGACACCTTCTTCCTGCTTTGCTCCACCATCATGTCTACTTTAATTTGGCTACAAACAAATTTAAGTTTGACGTCATGCAACATGAACACCATTGTCAGCACAATTGTGAACCAGAGCGGGGTTCTGTGCGTCACGCTCATGTCCGTGGAGCGATACGTGGCCATTTGCCACCCCTTCCATCACCCCCGCTGGTTCAGCCACCGCAAAACGCTTCAGTTCTTGGCCGTAATTTGGTCCGTCGCTTCAGTGTTCCCGCTGGCGTGCGGAATTCTGATCTTCACAAGCGGCGTGACCATGAACAACACTCGGACTTGTTCCACGTATATCACCGACAGCCTGATGCCCAACCCCATGGTAATAACGGTGCTCAGAGAATTCCCAAACGTCGTCATTTTCACAGTCTGCATCATTGCGTTGATCTTCACTTACTTCAATATAATGATGGCCGCTAGAAAGGCGTCCGATGATGCGTCTAAGGCGAAACGAGCCAAGCAAACTGTGATATTACACGGCCTGCAGTTGTTTTTGTATCTGTGTTCACTTGGTAACGCATTATTTTTAATTCTTTTTGCTACAATCACAACAGACCCTAACGTGACGACAATATTAAGGTTATGTAATTATTTTTTTCTTTATTATAGCTCAAGGTTTGTTGTTCCCTTAATTTATGGAATACGTGATAAACAACTTAGGCAGTGTCTTAGGAAGAAGATCACCTGTCACTACAATAGAGTGACTACATTTTAAACTGCATGCAAATGAAGTATTGTAATTGACGGCAGGAACTTCTTGACGGGTAACACACTTTTATTAAATCTTTACGTGTCACAATACAACGTGTGGTCTCCCTTCTTCCGACTACACACTCCACTAATCTCGTGTAAACTCTATGCCTCTGGCTACACACGCTACACTTGACTCGTGTAGACCCTATGCCTCTGGCTACACAATACACTCGACTCGTGTAGACCCTATGCCCCTGGCTACACACAATGCATTCGGCTCGTGTAGACCTTATGCCTATGGCTACACACACTACACTCGCCTCTGGGTTACACAGAGTCCCGGTCCCGTTAGGACAGCGGGACTAGGTACCGCAGGGCCCTAGGTCTTCATCCCCGTCTTCATTCTTCGCTGGTTACATCCTGCCCTTACGCCTGTGTGCATCCCCTTTTATAGCCCCTGCTCACGAGAGATGGAGCTGATGCGGACGTCGACGTGAGCATCGTTCCTTAGTGAACCAATCACGACGCACTCTCTCTACGATCCGTTTTCCCCAGCGCGTGTTAACACTACTCCACCAATCACACCGCGCTGCCACCCGATCACTCCCTCTCAGCGCGTCACCGGCCCACAGCCAATCAGTGCCCCGTAACCCACGACCCCGCGCTGACCCCTGATCCTCCACCGTCAGCGCGCGTCACCACCTACACAGCCAATCATTACGCGCTGGAATACGATCCCTAATCCCAGCGCGTATCACCACTACATCACCCCCTCCCACATAGCTTTCAGCCGGCCCGGCTGTTAACCAACAACACAACCTAACGTCAACGCAGTAATAAAGAAACTCCACCTCCCAGTGTGCCCCGTAACGCAACAACAACAACACAACACAACACTTAAATATGAAGCAATATACAGCCCGACGAACAACACAATAAAAGCGAACACCCGAAAACGAACGCGCCACGTGTCTCTGTGACTAAACGCAGTGCAGAGGCGCTCCGGCTGCCTCGACTCCTCACATGGTAGGTCACACAAAGTAGCGCGACCTAGCGCGAGTCCGTCTGGCCGGTCCGTCGTATGGGACGGGACGTTGGCGACCGTCCGGTGGCTCCGGCAGCTCTAGACGGCGCGGATCGGGCCTGGAAGGACCGGCCCCGCCGCGAAGATCCGGCCGCCGGTGGTCGGCAGCTGTCAGTTCCGAGACACCTGGGAGCGGATCAGGCGGAGACATGTGAGGAGCAGGCAAAGACAATTCCCCCTCAGGGTCGTCGGTCACGTCACATGCTCGGCCCTCACGACACAAGGGGAGGCCATACGGAGGCGAGAACGGTTTCAGTCGGGAGGGGTGGACGTACCAACGGCGTTTTCCCCATTTTATCTGAACGCACTGGGGGCGTGCAACCCGCACGACCTCCACGGGTCCCCGCCATGGCTTCAACAATTTAGGCGACGTAGCCAAAGGTGCCTGAGGGCAATGCAGCCAGGCCCTGTCACCTGGTTCTCAGTTGTGCACGGACACCTTCCGTGCACGCAACCGCTCGTTTGCAATTTGGCGAGGCCGCGAATTAAGCCGTGCGGCCTCCCTTGCCTCTGTCAGCTTATGAATATTAAATTTAATATGCTCTGCCAATTTCGAATTAGTTCGTGGTGCGGGCAGACCCAGCTGCGTTTCCATGGGCGGGTCGGCTTCCCGACCGTACATTAGATAAAACGGGGAAAATCCCGTTGCTGCATGGGGGGCCATTCTATACGCGGCGAGGACCCCAGGGACCTGCAGGTCCCAATCAACATGTGCCTCACACACCTGCTGGCACAGCATAGAAGTCAATGTCCTGTTAAGCCTCTCCACCATCCCGTCCGTCTGCGGGTGGTACGGGGAGGTACGCACCTTCTTGGTACCCAACAGGTCGCACACCTCTTGCAGTAATTTACTCGAAAAAATTTTCCCTTGGTCAGTCAGCAAGCGTTCGGGAGCCCCCTTGTCTAGGACGTAGCCCTGGACAAAGGCGTCCGTCACAGCCGCCGCCGACTGGTTGGCGAGTGGCCACGCCATAGGCCACCGGGTAAAATATTCGACCCCCACCAACAGGTACTTATTACCCCTAGGCGTGACCGGAAAAGGCCCCAGAATATCGAGTGCAACGAGCTCGTTAGTGCGCGAGACCTGAATAGATTGCAGCGGTGGATTAGCTGCCACGGGCGGTGGTTTCCGTCTGGCGCACTCAACACAACCCTTCAGAATATTCACCACGTCACCCCCCATTCCCGGCCAATAATAGTCACGCTGAAGCAGGGCAAGCGTTTTGTTAACTCCCAAATGCAAGAGGCGTTCGTGTGCGGCCAAGACAACCTTCCCCCTCACAGCAGAAGGCACCACAATCGCGTGCCGCCGGGACAAACTGTCCCATCTCATCAACAGGCCTTGCTTAAGCTCGTAGGAGCCAGTTCGGTCGTGGTCACCTTCGGAACCCCCCGTCTTGCGGCGCAATGCCAGTAGGGAGCTGTCCGCCATTTGGAGACGGCCCCACTCAATCAACGACAGTGAGAGCAGCGAGTCCTGACCCCCTGGGGTAGCGGGAACATCCCCAATTGGTGTGCCCGCGGTCGCAACCAACGCCTCCATACCTTCTGTAACTGGCGGTTTACAGCGCGCCGATCCCGATAAGCACGCACATTTGTGACAAGGCAACAACCGCGACAGGGCATCGGCATTTGTGTGTCGCAACCCTTCACGGTATGTAGTCGTGAACTGATAGTCCTGGAGGACTTCCAACCACCGCGACAATTGGCCCGAGGGCTGGGCGACCCGCAATGAATACTGGAGCGCCGCGTGGTCCGTCCGGACCGTAAAATGACGACCATAGAGATATGGCCTGAATTGTTGTACGAAAAAAACAATGGCAAGCAGTTCGCGACGGGTGACGCAGTAGCGCTGCTCTGCCGACGACAACACCCTGCTACCATAGGCGACCACTCGTTCGACCCCTCCAACGACTTGGGACAGCACTCCCCCAATGCCCGTGTTGCTAGCATCCGTGTCTAGCAAGAAGGGACTCGCAAAGTCCGGATAGCGCAAGGGTGGGGCACTTACCAAGGCGTCCCGGAGGGAGCAGAATGCAGCCTCCTCCTCCGGTCCCCATCGGAACTTCACTCCTTTCGCCGTTAGAGCGTGCAAGGGTTTTGCAATGGTGGCGAAGTGCTCAACGAATCGGCGATAATATGAAGCAAAACCGATGAAACTGCGCACGTCTGACACTGACGTGGGCATCGGCCACGAACTGACACAGTCCGTCTTCGCAGGATCGGTAGAAATCCCCGAAGAGTCGACAATGTGACCCAAGTACCTCACGGATTTACGAAAAAGGTGGCATTTGGCCGGTTTAAACTTTAATTTAGCCGATCTCATTCGCAAGAACACCCCTCTCAATCGCTGGAGGTGTTCTTCAAACGTGTTACCGAAAACAATGACATCGTCAAGGTAAATGAGGCACGTATCCCACTGCAAGCCCGACAAAACCAATTCCATAAGACGCTGAAACGT